GGGATTTGTCTTTCGGGTTCGGGATCAGAAAAATCGGGATCGGGATTCAAAAAAACCGGGATAATCCCGCCCGATCCCGACCGGGATCCCGATCCCGCCCAACTCTACTTATAATTATGTAACGAACTTTATTTTAAATAATCTCTAAATTAATTTTTAATTCAAAAATTTAAAAAGGCTTGTATTAAATTTATTGCAGCCAATCGCAAAAACTTTTTAGACAGCAATGAATGGAAAGAATTTAAAACTAAAAATAGGGATCTAGCTTTTTGTCTAATGGAAATAGCATTGAAATTCGGTTATTTTCTAATTAAATACATACATATATTCCAGGGCTTCGATATCTGCGGATTTTTCCTCATTTTGTGGATTTTTGATAGGTCGATGAGGATTTTCAAAAATGCGGATTTTTGTGGTCTTTTGAAGATTATGAGGATTTTTTATGTTTTCTTGTAGTTTTTATTATGAAATATCATTATTTCTCTGCTAAGACCTAAACTCAAATTTTTAACCTGCAGCGCTGAAAATGGAAGATTTTCGGCTTAAGGATATCCTAGATTCAAAAAAATTTCGTCTGCGGTGAAAAAAGAAGATATATAATGCTGGATCAAAATTGTGGATTTTTAAAAATTCGTGATCGAAGCCCTGATATATTCTCTAGAATTATAAAGGTTTTTATTTAAAAAAATTTTTAGAATTGTGATTTAAATTTTACGTTATGTTGCTACTGAAGAACTACAAATGTTACATAGGAAAATATTTTATACAATTAAAAATAATCTTTATTGTATCCAATATTCAAATGAAGATTTAAAAAATTTTATTATAAAATGTATTTCTTTAAAATCAAGAAATTTGTTAATAAAAATATTTTTTAATCATTTTCCCTTTGGGATTCTTTTGTTTTTAATCAAAATGATTTCCATAAAATTTATTTGAATATGAAATATCCAACAAGTCCAACAGCCAAAGTACCTCCACCCAGACCAATTCCAACTATAGGAAAGTTTAGAGCACCTAAACATGCAGCAACTCCTAATAGAGCTCCAACAAGACAACCTCCAGTAAATTCTTTCGAGAAAAAAAATCTTTTTTTGTTTAAAAAATTTTTTGAAAGTCGAGTATTTCGTCTATTATCCTCTTCCAAAATTGTCACAATTTCATTTTGTTGTTCTTTAATTTCCTTTACTTCCTCAATTTCGTTTACTACTTGTCTATTTATATCAATAAGTTCATTAACTGTTGTAATCAGATTTTTAAGGATTTTTTCATCTCCAGTATCTAAAAATTGAAATTAATTAATGTGATATTAAATTTGACTAGTCTATTGAATATAATATTGAAAATCTATAAAATATAGAAACTCGTAAATTCGCCATAATATTTTAAAACATAAAGTATAGGATTTTTGTTTATACCCAATATAGAACGAAAATTAATTGGTAATGGAAAAATTTCGGTTCGGATACCATCTTTAGAAGTAAAATAATTTTTAGCTATTTATTATATACCTTCATTAAAATCCAAATTGCCATTCATATCTTGAGAACAGTAGAGATTTGAAAATGTTTTCTAAGAACAATAAATTAATTTCAAAAAAAAATTAAGAAATACTATATAATAGAATAATTAATCATATTTACGGAGAACAAAGATTCCTATTTGTTTTAATTTTTATTCAACAAATCGTGAAAAAATTTGATAAGTGTAAAAAAGCATTAATATAATGAAAGTTTCAAAGAATATTATCAACAATTTTATTTCGGATTGGAAACAGACACTGATAATCAAATAAGTATTTTGCTGCTAAATTGGATGTTGGGGGATAAAATGCTTGAAATTATTTATGAATTTGTGGGATTGAATGAAAACTTTATAAAATTGTTGAAAAACATACATAGTATATCATTATTTTGAAATTTAAATTTTAAAAAATAGAATATTTATCCAAAACAAGAACCAAGAATACCTCCCGAAACTGCACCAACAACAGCACCCACTCCTGCCCCAATCGCCATACCAATGGGACCTCCAAAGGCACCAGCAACCGCGCCAGCAGCAGCGGCACCGCCAATACCGCCAAGTCCAGCGCCCTTGATAATTTTGCGATTACGCTTCTTTCGATTGACATTTTCTTTAACTAAAGAAATATTATAGATATTACCCTATCCCAATATTTACCCTATCCCAATACCTCTGATTTTCTTTTATCAAAATAAAATTCGAAATTTCTTAGATATTTATGGTGTCTTGAGTCTCGATAATGTTTGGTTTGAGTCTTGGGGTCAAGTCTTGGCCTTGAAAAATTTTCGGTCTTGGACAGCTCTACTAATCTTAAGTCTAAAATTAAATATATTCCAACCTTCCTTGAATTTTTTGTTTTCATTCATAAGATCATCATGTTTTCGTCTAACCTCAATATTCTCCTCTTTTAGTTCTGCTACTTGTTTTGTAAGATTAATTGTAGTTTGATTAAGTACGGCAATTCGTTTAATTAAAATTTGAGTTGAAATATTTTGTTGATTATTAGACTAAATATTTAAACTGTTAAATTTAATATTTCGTATTTTGATTTTTTATTAATTTTTAATCTTTTTTAAATTTAAATTTCATTTTATCACACAAATTTATTTAAAAATTTATTTAATTTTATTATTTAAATTTTAATTATATATAGGAAATTTTAATAAAATAATTAAACTTAATACTTATATTAGTAAAAAATATACATTTATATTTATTTTACCTGTTCATTTTGCTGTTCTTTATAGCTGAAATCGCTGTCAGACTCACCACTGTTGCTTCCCAAATTAACCATTTTTAACAATAATTTAATTTAAATTTAGAATCTAATTTGCACTAAGAAATATAAGTTTTTAATAAAATCAAGACAATAATTAAAAACAACTGCTATTCTAAGTAGGAAGGGGTTCTAATATTCAATGCCTCATAAAAACTCGCTACAATAAAGAGTATTAATACATATAATTAATAACCCCTTCGAGTACCACCCTAATTAGAATAAGCATGTAGAAAAGAATGTGGTAGCAATTAAAAAATAAAATAGTGCAAATAAAAAAATTAATTTAATTAAAGAATAACGAGAATATTACTTTCAAACAATAAAAAAATTGAAAAATTTTATAAAATTCGAAATTTTTTTAAATGAATTTAATAATTTTCTAATGTAGTACAAAAAAATTTAATAAAATGAAAAGAAAAGTTTGAATAAAAAGGGCGGAGTTTATAATAAATATTTTATTTTGAACAAAAACAAAAATGAAAAAAATCTGTATAATAAAAAATAAATTGTATGGCTTCTCTCTTTGGTAATAATTTCCATTAAAATTTAAAACAGGGCTCGGATTCGTACTTTTTTAAAAGTATTGTACTTTTTTATCGACCTCCGTACTTAAGAAATTGAATTTGTACTTTTTTGAAAGTATGTACTTTTTTATCAACATTTTTGAAAAAACGAAGAAATCTGGCTTAAGGACCTCCAAAATTCTCAAAATTTTCGCCTGCGGCGCAAAAAATGGAAGAAATCTGGCTTAAGGACCTCCAAAATTCTCAAAATTTTCGCCTGCGGCGCAAAAAATGGAAGAAATCTGGCTTCTTGGTCTCGTAAATTCACAAAATTTTTGCCTGCGGCGCTGAAAACGGGAGGAAATTGGAGATTTTAATAAAGATAAGGCGGAGGGATATTAGTATATAGTGGAATTATACCAAGATATCCCTCTTAGTCCCCAAATCCCACAATGTCTTTTTAATCTCTTCAAATTTGCCTCTCTCTATATCACCCAAATAACCAGAAAATAACAAGAATTTTCGCTAAACTCGAAACCCGTGCCCGAAATTTTTGGAGCGTACTTTTTATTAGCAAATTTTCTCCCTATGTACTTTTTTTACAAGATTTTGATACTTTTGAGTGGTATTTTGTCGATCCGAGCCCTGATTTAAAATAAATATTTACATTTTTTGTTTATATTTGGATGTAAACATTTATAAAATTTATTAAACAAAAGAGGAACTCTTTTCTTTTAATTTTGGTATTTTCGAATAAACTTGCCACACCCATTAAATTGTAAAATTCGTTTATCCGTAAAATTTTATTCAAATAAATAATATTAAAAAATGCAATCATCCTTCAGTATTTTTAACAAAAAATTATTTTTTATAAACATACTTAATAAATTTATTTAATGAAGTTTAGTTTTATAAGTTTATTTTCATTTATTATCTCAATTTTATGTATATTAGGCTTTGACTGATTTTTCATAGGTTTTTACAATTTCCTGATAAAACGTGATTTTTTGAAATTCTGTCGAATGCTTCATTATACTATGTAATTAAAGAAAGAATTACCTCCGTTCTAAAAAGCCGTTCCCTATTCTTGTATTTTAATGTTTATTTAAAATCTTAAATTTAGAATTTAAAAAATTTTTCATTTGTTAATTATTCTGATCTATAAACTTTCTGAAACAAAAAATGTCTATTAACACTAAAGAGGTATTTTAATGGAAATGTATTAATTAATTTATTAAAATATATGATTTAGCTGATTAAATCTTCAAAAGTTTGGAATGTTAGAAATATCAATACAATTGCAAAACCTTTGGGAAATGATTATTATATTTGCAGTAAGTTTTTTGGAGTTAAGTTATTTCACAAAATTTTGTACTGCGAGACTTTTCCAATGTTCTGATTTTTCGAACGTTTCTTTCATAATTTTGTTGCTTTTACTTTAAAATTTTAGCTCCTTAATTATTTTAAATGCTTAATTGAAAAAAATATTAATAAAACCTCGCAGAAAAATTAATCAGTCAAGTTAATAAATTTGATTAAGGTGGGCCTTTTAAGAACAACGCTTATCCTACAGTCTCGTGGGAAATTTGTATTTATTTGAATGGATATCAAGGAGGAATTTATGGAAGTAAGTCTAGAATTTTTAAATATAAATTTATTTTTCATCTTTAGGCGTTAATGTTTCGCTCCGTCAAATGGGACTTAAAGGCAATGATTGTGTTAAAGCTAAATATTATTTTTATGCAATTCAAAATAATGGTATTCGCATGGATATTGGACGGTAACTGAAAAATTTACTAATGAAAATTGATACTTATTCACATAATGCTTCTTAATTAGTGCCTCACATGACTTTAAATATTGGACCCAAACTAGCAGATACAATGTTAATATGCAAAGTTTGCTCCAAATTGACGGTAATTTTTTCGTTAATTTGGTGTAATTTTGTTTTTTTTAATTAGGTTCTATTACACTTGGATGTGATGTTGAGTTTACTTTGGAAGACCTCATCCTCGAATATATTAAAAAGGATGAATCTGCACTTTACTCTAAAGCTTTGCTTCAAAATATGTGGCAGAATAAGGAATTTATGGATTGTGTTATTGAGGTAATTTTATTAGAATTATTCATTGGAAACTTGGTTTATGTCTTGGGTGACAAAAGTATTTGCTATAAATATGTATATGGAGATGTGAAATTATCTTTTATGATCCACTATAATTGCCATATATTTTCCCATATTTTAACGTTATACTTAAACTGATCCTTTATCAATTTTATCTGAGTATCTTGGGTTTTTCGAGGAACAATGTTTACAATAAATTCATCGTTTAAGTTTATTTTATTACAGATTGGTGAGGTGTCGATTAATGCACATCGAAGCGTATTAGCTCAAAATAGTGAAGTTTTTCGACGAATGTTGTACACGAGTGGATTCAGTGAAGGACAAAATGTACGCAAAACGCGTAAAAGATCTTATCAAGCTATTAATAATGTAAATTCTCTGAAAATTTAAGATAATATTTTTATTATTAAAAAATAAGTGGTTTACCTATTTTTAATTGACAGCTTTTGGTCCTTATATGGAGATTAGGAAATTAAAATTAAATTTAACAAAAAAGAACTAATCCAAACTATTTAATATAAAAACTTTTAAAATTACCTAAAACCTTTATATTATTATAGGGGATAGTCAAAATTACTGATTGTTCGTCGGAATGTTTCCAAGCAATGTTGGAATATTGTTATACTGGAATTGTTTCTGATGGTTTTACTTTTTACTAAAATAATTGATTTTTTACTAAAATAATTGCCATAATAATCCATTTGTAAACGTATAATTTAATTTTTTAAGACATTTTGGAGGGCTTCGCGGAGGAGCTCTTTACTGTTGCTCATAAATATGAAATTTCTCCACTTAAAGAAAAATGTGAAAATTTCATTGCTGCTTGTATTGGTAAATAAAAAATTTTTTTAAAATTTAATTTCAAAATTTTAAAGGAGTTTGTGATATCTCACGAATTTGTCAAATTGTCCATCTTTATGGTTCTTCAATTTTGGAGAAGGTTGTTTGGGTTTGAAAATGTTTCTATTTTTCTTTCAGGCTGTTGCGAAATGTATCTCTCAAAATAGAGATATTTTAACTACAGCTGAGTGGGCAAATTTGAAACAATCTCATGCAGATTTAACTCATCGTTTGTTGGAATCTGTCATTTTTGGACATGCTTAATGGTTAGATTTAATCAGTTTAAAATTTTATTTAAAGTGTATAGAATACTTTTTATCGTTTTTGGCATTTTTGTCTTTTTAAAATTATCATTTTACAAACTCATATCTATAAAACAAATAACGTATATGCTCTAATAATTACCCTTGGTAATTATTGTTTCAACCTCTGGTTACAGGGGGTAATTAATAGCGCGGGGGTAATTATTCGGGAGAGGGTGATTAATAGAGCATATACCGTATATACATACATTTCAAAACTATTTTGAATGGAAAGATACTCCATTAGAAATATTTTTTATAAAAAAATAAGCTTGTAGATATACCTATTTTGATTAAGGCTTTTAATTTATTAGTCGGAGGAGAAATCATTCATTTTAAATTATCATAAATTTTAGATGATTTGCATCAGAATCGAAGGTTTATTTGTTACAATAACAATTTTATTATAAACACAATTTTTTGTGAAATTGTTGCTTATGTTCTATTTCATTTTCAATTCTGTGAATTTTTTTTTACAATTTTGATTTATTTATATTTTTATGTTATTCAAATTTCTGATAAATTTTTATCAAAACTAGTGAATTTTATTTTAAGTTTAGTTTTATTACAGGGCTCGGATCGACAAAATGCCACTCAAAAGTATCAAAATCTTGTAAAAAAAGTACATAGGGAGAAAATTTGCAAATAAAAAGTACACTCCAAAAATTTCGGGTACGGGTTTTGAGTTTAGCGAAAAATTCTTGTTATTTTCTGGTTATAACCAGAATTCTGGTTATTTTCTGGTCATTTGGGTGATATAGAGAGGCAAATTTGAAGAGATTAAAAAGACATTGTGGGATTTGGGGATTAAGAGGTATCTTGGTATAATCCCACTATATAGTAATATCCCTCTGCCTTATCTTTATTAAAATCTCTAATTTCCTCCCGTTTTCAGCGCCGCAGGCAAAAATTTTGAGAATTTTGGAGGTCCTTAAGCCAGATTTCTTCCATTTTTTGCGCCGCAGGCAAAAATTTTGAGAATTTTGGAGGTCCTTAAGCCAGATTTCTTCCATTTTTTGCGCCGCAGGCAAAAATTTTGAGAATTTTGGAGGTCCTTAAGCCAGATTTCTTCCATTTTTTGCGCCGCAGGCAAAAATTTTGAGAATTTTGGAGGTCCTTAAGCCAGATTTCTTCGTTTTTTCAAAAATGTTGATAAAAAAGTACATACTTTCAAAAAAGTACAAATTCAATTTCTTAAGTACGGAGGTCGATAAAAAAGTACAATACTTTTAAAAAAGTACGAATCCGAGCCCTGTTTTATTATGAATGATTAGACCGCAAATTTTAATGCAAGATATTTTGTTAATCAACAAAGAGTTATTTAATAGAAAGTACAAAAATCTTTAATTAGAAAATTATGAGGGATAATGTAGTCTCACGTGAATTTTAATAATATTGTGAGATTTAAAGAACCATTTGGAGATATTTAAATTTAAGTTGAAATGGTTCTTAATTTTAAAATTTTTTGCGGCTAAATGAATCTTGATTTATTTTACTCTCGATGCATAAAATAATTCAAAACTAAATGATTATTAAATTATTAAGTACCTAATCATTAAATAATTCTAAAAATTCATTAAAAAATTTTTTCCCAACTTTTAATTTTATATCAAAATATTTTTAAAAATGTAATTTTAAATATAAAATTTTGAGGTAAAATAACACTCTAATATAAAAAATTAACTCAAATAAAAAATAAAATTTTAATTTCTTTCCTTTAAATGTCAATTTATATATTCTTCCACTTCATCAATTCTTCTTTTGTTAAAAATATTGTATTCAAAAAATATGTTTCTTGATCAACCTTCTTCTTTTTAACATCGATAGTGTTGTTAAATGTGTTTAAAATATTTTCACTAAATTTCTCTAATGTTGTTTCAAATTCACTCTTTTCAACATTTCCTTTAATTCCAACTATCCAAATAGTACAAAGCCGCCCTTCTTCTAAATTTAAATCTTTTCTTATATTTGTTGGACAATTTTGTGCATTTAAATATTTTGTTGGAGATACATGACAATATTCTATATTCGAATTAGGCTCGTCAATTTCAGAAAAAAGTCCAATTCGAATCCGAGTTCCAGTATAATCACAAAATAGAGGGCCATAAATACTTTTTGTTGTATGTGAACATATAATGGCCAAATAATTGTTATACTTAATTTAAATTAATTATTTTCTCAAAAATATTTAATTGAAGTCTAAATAGCAGAGGTCGATTGTAATTCCGATTTCCGACACCTCGTCATTTCCGATGACCTCTGCTAGGTAGTCTCCCCTATTTTTTCTTAAGTTAGTTTAGCCTTTTCCCTTCAAAATATAACATTTATAATGTTTTATTTGGTGTATAACGTCACCTTTTGGTAAACAAAGTTTTAGAGGTTCTGTTCGTTTGTTTGTAATTTTTAAGAAAATTTTAAAGAAACAAGTATGGGAATATTTTTGGTTAGATTATACCTTTTGCGGTTATCTTTGTGAACTATTTTAGTCTTAGTGATGTATTTTAATAGAAAGATTATAACATGGAATTTTGGAAAGTACACTCCGCGTCAAAAAGATTCGGACACCTAGTTTTTTGGGTATATTTCTCGATTATCTAAACAATTATAGTAAATACTCTAAGAAAAATATAAATAAGGACCTAAGATATATGTATAAACAAAAAATTAAAAAAAATTTTGAAGTATAAATTTTTCATGAAATAATTTTTGAAAATCAACTGCGTCAAAAAGATCGGACAATATTTAAAAATTTTTTTAAACGTTCCATAAGGGATCGAGAAATTCCACAAAAATTTATATAAACATTTCCATCGATATCGAGTAGGAATACAAAAAGAACGAAGTCTGAAAATGCTTTCTTCATTGAGATCTGAAAACCACAAAATCAACGGGAAATGGGGGGTACAGTACTTCAAAAAATATTTTGACCCCCTTAGAGGTTGTATAAAAAATTTTTTTCAGGCCCACCAGAAAGCCCATAAAATTTGCTACAAAAAACACTTGGTCCCATCCTGTAGAAAAATTTTACTATGGAGACCCCATCGGTTAAATTTAAAAGTTAGAAATAATGACAATTTATAGGGTAATTTGAGTGAAAGCTCCTTTAACCGATGGGGCCTCTATGGTAAGATTTTTCTCATGGATGGGACCAAATGTTTTTTGTAGCAAATTTTGTGGGCTTTCTGGTGGGCCCGAAAAAAATTTTTTATACCACCCCTAAAAGGGTTAAAATATTTTATGAAGTACTGTAACCACGTTTTCCGTTGATTTTGAGGTTTGAGATCTCAATGAAGAAAGCATTTTCAGACTTCGTTCTTTTTGCATTTCAACTCGATATTGATGGAAATGTTTATATAAATTTTTGTGGAATTTCTGGATAACTTTTGGAACATTAAAAAACTTTTTTTAAAGTGTCCGAATCTTTTTGACGCACATGTTTTTTAGAAATTATTCCATAAAAAATTTATACTTCAAAATTTTTTTAAATTTTTTGTTTATACAAATATCTTTGGTCATCATTTATATATTTTTATAGTATTCTCTATAATTGTTCAGAGATAATCGAAAATATATCCAAAAAATAAGGTGTCCGAATCTTTTTGACGCAGTGTATATAGTTTAATTTTAACCTTTTCGTAAAACTTTCCACCATTAAACCAGTTTTTCCATATTTTTTCAGAAAATATTTTAAATTTTTCTTTATCATCTTCATACTTAATTAATTCCTTAAATTCTTCTTGTAATTTATCAAATTTAACTATTCCTTTAATTTATAAAATTTTAATTAATTTTTAATTTTTTTAAATTACCATTCTTTATTTCTTTTTCAATTATTTTTTCTGTACTTTTGTTTATATTAAATCCAACATTCTGTACAGGAAATCCAGGTGATATAATTTTCCAAATAGGTTTCTCATTTGATTTTTCCTTAATTTTATTTGATTCCGTTTCTTCTTCTTCTAAATTAATTATTTTTTCTTTATCTAACGGTAATTCTATCCATTTAATTAAATATTCAAATATATATTTAATTAAAAAAATTGTAGAAAATGCTGGATTTTCTATAATAATTTTACAAATAATAACTGTTAGAGAAGAACTAGATAAAAATCCAAATTGTCCGCCGTAAATGAAATTTTCTTAAAATTTTAAATATTTTTTTTTAATTTAAAAAAACGTTTTACCTTTTGCCCATAACTTTAAAGTTATGTGTATTAATCTGAATTTGTACAAATTCCCCTTTTCTTTTAATAATTCTATTACACGCAAATTGGCTCTGAGACCTGGAAATTATCAATTTTTTATTTTAAAAATTAAATTAAAATTTTGTAAAGGAAATCCAGTTAATGCTAGATGCAGATTTAGGATCTATTAAAAGAGAAAAAGCTGACGGCAGACACCTGATTGTGGGGAGAAAACTAAATTTTAAGTTACAAGATTAATGTTTGATCGGTAGCTAAACTTCTACTTTCATTTGAAGGTAGAAGTTTTTCATAAGTTAGAATTACTTTTAATGTCACAAAATTAATCCCGAAATTTTATTTTTAAATATTTTATCGTTATATTACCAGAAAGAGCCAAAATCATTCCTCTACGTTTCGGAGATAATCTATCAATATCTCGAAAATTTTGGGTTAATTCTTTTATAGCCTCATCCACTTGTGTCACAGTTAATGAATTTTCCTCTTTAAAATATTTATATATTGAATTTGCCTTAAGTGTCACAAAAAGTAGATCAAACTCAAAACCTCCAAATTTCATACCAATAATTGGAACTCGACCAAAAATTCTTTTGAGATTTTCAACGGATGGA